AGGTCATGAAAGGACCATAGTTCCCCACCCCTGCCCTACGAGAATGAATTCAAAATTCCAACAATTGTACACATCTTTTAAAATGTCATATTTAAACAATTATGTTGAAGAGAATGCCAGGGGGATTGGTCATTAATCAAGAATTGGACTAGGACCAAGTTAAAAGTCTACCCTGAGCTATGGAAGTTCATTAAGTGAACATGGGTCACGCACTAACTCGTGGTCTAATTATTCCATGGGGAAGTTTTTGTGTGTGGGAGGGGAGAATTGGGAGGAGAGAAAGATATTTAAACTCCCAGAATTCCTAATCAGTGGAAGATGGTACTAATTGAGGATTACCCCAAGGATCTAGCCCAGGGGTAGTCAACCTTGGCTCTTTTATGACTCGTGGACTTCAACTCCCAGAATTCCTGAGCCAGCAGGAATTCTGGGAGTTGAAGTCCACGAGTCATAAAAGAGCCAAGGTTGGCTACCCCGATCTAGACCTTGGCTTAGAATCGTGTTTCTCAACCTTGACAACTTTAAGACTTACAGTTGCCAAGGTTGAGAAACACTGTTTTAGAATGAAAGTTTATCCACCCCCTTCCTTAAGCAAACACGTTATTGTTATCAGATTTTTTCTTTCATGTTATTGCTGGTTCTCCTCAGCACTGCAACTATTCCAGAGTTTGATTTTTGTTTTTTTGTCTGTTTTTTTGTCTGTTTAAAAAAAACAGAATTCAAATTTATTTGAGGAGATTAAAGGTAGGACTTGCTTTGCCCAGCATCTAATAACCCCAATCTTAGTTTTTAAGTCTTAAGCCTGTTTACATAGGAGTTACACAACATAAAACACAGGAATAAAGAAATTCAAGCAAGTGAATAAATGAAGTAACAAACTATTTATTTATATTCCACCTTTATTATTTTTACAAATAAGGTGGTGAATATATCCAACACACCTTCCTTCTCCTATTTTCCCCACAACAACCCTGTGAGGTGGGTTGGGCTAAGAGAGAAGGACTGGACCAAAATCTCCCAACAAGCTTTCGTGCCTAAGGCAAGACTAGAACTCTCAGTCTCCTAGAGCAGGGGTCTTCAAACTTGGCAACTTTAAGACTTGTAGACTTCAACTCCCAGAATTCTTCAGGGCTGAGGAATTCTGGGAGTTGAAGTCCACCAAGTCTTAAAGTTGTCAAGTTTGAAGATCCCTGTCCTAGAGTGATTGGCCTAAAGTGAGCCAGCGTCTTTCATGCCCAAGGCAGGACTAGAAGTCAAAGTCTCCTGATGACTGGCCCAAAGTCACCCAGCTGGTTTTCATGGCTAAGGCGGGACTTGAACTCACAGTCTCCCACTTTTTAACCTGGTGTCTTAACTACTAGACCAAACTGGAGCATTTTGCTTTTTTTGTGGGTAGCATACTAGCTTGGTAGAAGAGTGTCTTACCTTCATTCAGCTTAGAAGGGGATGCAGCCCTTAGCTGGTAAATATTTCTGTCAATAAGTAATTTTTTGCTAGCTTGTTTTCAAGATAGTTACACACTCTGGTAAATATTCAATACGATCTGTAATATTTTTCTTACATGCTGGAATTCTTGCGGAGAGTCCAATAGCCAAATGTTCCTGTTGGCATCTCGTTCCCCTCCCCAACCCAATTTTTGTTAGTTGAGAAAACTTTTCCATTTCACCTCTCAGTGTGGAAATAACCTTTGGTTCCGCAACATCTATACAAACTTTCAGGACAAGAACAGTTTGTTTGTTTTTTGAATCTTTTGAAAGTTTTGGGAAGAGACATGTAGAAATTGCTCCAAAAGAATCAACAACTGAGAGCAATTAAAAGACACAGAGCAGTCACACCTAGAAAACTGGAAGGATAAATAAACTCTCCTGATGTCAGGAACACAAAAAGAATTAATCTGGTATGGTTATGAAATCGATGTTTAAAACAGACAAGCCAACATGGTAATAAAGATAATTGAAAAGGAACTGAAGAGGGAAAAAGTGAGCGTTTTCAACAGTTGCAATATGGAAAATCTAAAAACCATGCAACCAAAATGCACACCACAACAGAAAGTTTCCCAGAAGGATTTAAACTTCTTCAGCTAATTAGACACATGTTTTTCAGCATTCTTGACGGAGGCTATATCAATGATAGTCAATCATGAAGATCTCCTTGACAGCCAAGTCACCAACAATCTAAAAATTAAACTCAAGGATCTCTGCAGAAAATAGAATTGCATTTGTGGGTCAACCCTAAACTAGCAAGTTCCACTTTATCACATGCCAACTAAAGTCAAAGCCATAACACCAGAACTTCATCAGCTGATTCAGCCACATGCTTTATCTCCAACAATGCAGGAAATAGCATTATCTTCTCTATACTTAAGATAATACATACATACACACTCATACCACTGTCACACTGTGATAGAAAAGAAGAAAAACATTTAGGCCAATGCAAGATAGTTTGGGAGGGGGGAAGGGAGGAAATTTTCCCTAAATTTGGTTTGTTACAGCCCCATTTTACTAAGCTCCATTGTACACTAACCCTTTTCTAAAATATAGGAAGGTACTTTATATAAGTGGTCATTCATACAGCTGTCTTTTATGGCTGGCAATAACTCTCAGCCCTACCAATGGGAACTAACGGCCCTAACTAAAAGAAAGTTTTACAAAGAACACCAGGGCTGGTGCTACTGTGTTTGTGTATTCTTTGCTGTTTTTTTAAGCAGCCCAAACCATTTTTTACTGATTGGCCATTGGTCTTTCTATTCCAGTGCTGCAGGCTCTGATTAGTGTCAGTTTGATCTTTGACAGAGGGAGGGAGGATACCAGACTCACTGAGCCTAAGAGCAAACCTTTACAAATAAAACAGATGTTTCATCAACTGAGTACACGGTATCTTTTGCTGCCTTAAAAACAGAAAATTCAAACTGTCTCACACTGATGGAGGAAAGGGAGGAGAAATAGAAGGGAAAGAAGAAAAACTTACTTCAAATCATTAGGCTTCTACCCCAATCAAATTTTCTTGGTTTTGTCAAGCCAAGATTCCCTTATCAACAGGTTAGGAGAGCCCCAAACCTCTTCCTCACTATTCTGAGATAACTGGAGCAACTTTATTCACAACTCCCCTTTTCCAATCGTTCATGAAAATAATTCATCAAAAAATAATTTCCACAAAATGAAAAAGTCAGCATGATGTAAAGATTAGAGTAATCATCCCTGAAGCTCACTGATCAAGTTAGTCACTCTCATTCTCCCTGACTTCAGATGATTGATTCAGAAATGAAATATTGAACTCTTCTGAGGGAAAAAACACAGAGAAGGGAAGCTACAAGTAGAATACCTCTGTTCACAAAATACTATTGAAGGATAGACTAATTCATTGCTACACTAACATGGATTTTAGGTGAACTGCAACACTGAAAAAGAAAGCCAATATAATATAAAATGATTCCACCAAAACTTGCAAAAGCACTAACATGGATTTTAGGTGAACTGCAACACTGAAAAAGAAAGCCAATATAATATAAAATGATTCCACCAAAACTTGCAAAAGCAGTTGTTTTAATTGTATGATCCTCAACAACCACTTTCTTAAAACTATGGGGAAAGTACTATACAGTGTGTTATTAATGCAGATCTATCTATTTAGGGATTAGAATACTTTCCTTTATTCTCAAATGTTGGGAGCTGGATGATTTAAAAAAAATGACAGGAAGATTAACCATCTTTCCCTGCTCAATCTTCCAGCTGTTCTTCTAAACAAGAGGTCGATTAACCTTAAGCTTTCCCAACCACAAAGAATGGGGAATTAAACTTTGATCCTTCATCTCAAATGAATGCGGTCAGATTTAAGCTTTTTCAACCTTCTTTCAACTAAGGGAGGAGCTAACCTTCAGCCTCCACTGCTTTTAACCAAAGGAACAATAAAAGCTCTTTTAATTCTTAACCTCCACCAAAAAAAAAACCCATTAAGAAGGGAAAGAGGTGGGAAGGACCCCCACCTTAACCATTTGTCCCCCCTGCTTTCAAGTCAAGTACACTAAGTCAAGAAGGAAAGAGGGGAAGTTATCCACTGCACTTCAGCTCAATATATTCATTCCTTCTCTACCTTATTTTTGATATGTGTGTGTGTATGCACATGTGTGAAAGATACAGGTTAACCGTCTCCCTAATTTAATTATATATTATTTAGGTTGAAGGGAATCCCCCTCTCTATTCTGGATGGGAATGTGGGGCATAAGGACAGTAGCTTGTTGCAGACACAAAGGTCAGCTTTCAACAATACCTACAGCAAAACACTTGAGTTTGGAAACCCAATAGGTTCAAGCCTCCTTCCCCAACTCAATTCAAGGGGGGGGGAGGAAAGAGGGGAGCAACTCACCTTCAGTCTGACCCCCCCCTTCCTCTCAAGGGAAAGGACTATTAACCCCTTCTCTACTGGTAAATATGAAGAAGGGAAGAAACTCAAGTTCTCCTCTCCACCCTTTGGAAGAAGCAATATTTGAATTAAAACCATCCGCATATTAGAACCAGGGGGTATATTTGTTTTTCTCCCCTCCATATCTTTTCGGAACCCCCCTCTTTTAAAGAGAGAGAAAAGAAGAATTTGTACCTCCCCTTTAAATCCAAGGGGGAAGAGATGGTCCCTCTATATAGCCCCCTCCTTGTCAAGAGCTGGGGGCCAATTAAGCCTTTATTTTTCACCCCCTAGTCTCTTTTGGAAGCAGGGAAATGAGCCTTTATTCTCTCTCATCTGATCCAAGTAAGTCTGAAGGTGCCCCTTCCCTTTAGGAGAGTACAAATTAGCCACTGTCACATTAAGACCGGGAAGGGGGGGGAGAGAGAATTTGGCTTTTAAATTACACGCCTCCCCCCCCCCCCCCCCCCC